TGAGGAGTAATACAAAACATCTCCTGCTTTTGGCTGGTGTGACTGGGTGGATAGAGGATCAATTCCTTGAGGAGTTAGGACTCCTGGGCAGACACTCGGTTCCATGCCTTTAGATCTGGAGTGATAGGATCGTCCTTGTAGGAACGTTGTAGAGGACGTCGCAGTGATTTCAAAGGCCGTGCCTGCAGAGTGTCTCCTGAGGGCCCTTCGTGAGGGCAGGGTTGACGGTTATATAACTGCCAGAGCGCAAGACCGCTGTTGGCAGATGCATTCTACCCACATCACCTGTATCCCCAGAACAGTGCCTGACATGTAGGAAATGCTGTTTGAGGGACTTCCCTGCTGGTCCAGTGGCTAAGACTCTGAGCTCGCAATGCAGGGGGTTCGGGTTCGATCCCTGGTCAGGGAACTAGACCCCACATGTCGAAACCAAAGAGGTTGCATGCTGCAACTAAGATCTGATGTGGTCAAATAAATAAGTAAATAAATAAAAATAAATATTTTAAAAAGGAATAATTTTTGAGTGAATACGTAAATGAAAAAAAACACTTGAGCTTGTGTTTCAATGAAAGTGAAACTCGCTCGTCATGTCCTACTCTTTGTGACCCCGTGGACTATACAGTCCATGGAATTCTCCAGGCCAGAATACTGGAGTGGGTAGCCTTTCCTTCTCTAGGGAAATCTTCCTGACCCAGAGATCGAACCCAGGTCTCCCTCATGGCAGGTAGATTCTTTACCAACTGAGATTCCAGGGAAACCAAAGGATCAATGGTTTAACTCATTGAAGAAGGGAACGGAAGAGTGATTGCGTTGGAAAATCCACTAATAGTGGCAATGGATTGGATATGGGGTTTGAGGGAGAAGAAGACATCAACCATCATCAACCATCAAACCATCATTATGGTTTTTGGCTGGTGTGATTGGATAGGTAGAGGTTCCCCTGAGGACTTGGGACTCCTGGGCAGAGACCCGTATTAGGTTGTTGTATGGAGAGGTATATGAGATCATTTGGAATAAGAAGATGTGTTGAATATAGAAGGTGAGATGGTAGATAATCCAACAAAGGAGACAGAGAGAGTGACAGGTAATAAATGAGAGAGAACCAGGAGAGAAACTGGTCCAGGGAAGAACGTGGTCTGCAGAAATGGATGCTGACAAATAGTCCACTTCAGCTGGAATTCCATCANTATCTGGCTTCAATCGTCACCTTCAACTTTTCAAACCAGGTCAGTTATTTTAAAGGTGTTCTGCAGGTCTTCACCTTTCCTCTTCATCAGTGACGTGAGCAGACAACTCTTCTTTATTTTTGCCCTCTTGGGTGGTGGATAATACTCTGATGGAAGCTGGGCAGTTCTGTGCCCTGTCCCATCTCTATCTGGTGGCCTTTTAGTCTCTTGGATGAATGCATCGAGGAGAATGGAAGCTAAAGCGTCTTGGGTGAGATGCTGCTTGGGTTAATTACCTTTGTCATATGTTTCCTTGTTGTTGTTTAGTCGCTAAATTGTGTCCCACTCTTTGTGACCCCCATGGACTGTAGCCCGCCAGCCTCCTCTGTCCACGGCATTCTCCAGGCAAGAATACTAGCCTGGGTTGCCATGCCCTCCTCCAGGGGATCTTCCTGACCCACGGATCAAAACCACATCTCTGAAGTCTCCTTCACTGGCAGCTGGTTCCTTACCACGAGCACCACCTGGGAAACCCACACACACACTACTATATATAAAACAGATACCAATAAGGGCCTCCTGTATAGGACAGGAACTCGACTCAATCCTCTGTAATACCCTAAGTGGGAAAAGAATCTGAAAAAGAACAGATATATGTGTGTATAGACAAATCACTTTGCTGTGAATCAGAAACTAACACGATATTCTAAATGAACTACCCTCCAATAACAGTTTTTTTTTTTAAATACCCAATGCCTATGCCTGTCCCCTCCTACTGTGAGAAATTGAGACACTGGAGCTATAGCTTGGTCTTTTAATTCGGGCGAGCACTCTTGAGAGGCATTGACGTGTGCGTTCTTTAGCGCTGGGCCACAAGGGAAGCCGCTGCTTCCTTCTGGTTCACCTCAACCCAGGGAAGCAGTGTTATCTAGGCAGGGAGATGCCTAAGAGGAGGGAACAAAATGACAAATGGAATATTTCCTACAACTCTGTGCCCAGATGAAGCAAAAGAGTGACAGGCATACTCTCCTGCCACTCAGAGGCATTGGACCTGCGGGGTGGCAGCCTTCAACGAAGACAGGAATGGAAGGCGGGTTTGGAGACAGCTTTTCCTAACAAGAGTCTCAGAGTGAATGGTGGGGGAATTTTGCAGAAAGACTGACTCAGTCATCATCCATTTGTGATTCCCCATCAGGACCGAGGACCAGCAGAATGTGAAATGTGCCGATTTGACAGTGACTCGTCCAGGGTTTTAAAGTTAGACTGTGCTCTTTCCTCTGTTTGGGTGTTTTCAGAAAGAATGAATCCAGCCTCCATCACCTCTTTTTTTCTCTTGTATCTTCCTTACTACCCACCAGCTCCGCCTTGCTCTGCTAACCATCTTTCTCCTTCTCTAGCCAATGCAAAGGCTGTTGATTTAGAGCCGGTGTTCCCCCAGGCAAGAGGCATTTTCTGGGCTTGTTCTTGGCCCCCAGTTATGCACAGCATGTTTTAAACGGGCACTGCTCTGGGGGGTGGGGTGGGGTGAAGTAGTGTGTCTGTTTTTCCATCCATCCCCGTGTTCTCTGCCAGAGGGACCCAGTAGCCCTGGCCTCTCTGAGCCCAAGGCTGCCGTATTTCCGTCTGCCTCCTCCGGGGTCTGTGAGCGGGAGGCCTTGGTGAGCGTGTTCTGGGGACATTCTGACCCACTCCTGGCTCCTCCCTGCGGCCCCTCCTGTCTGCCCTTTCATGTTCTGCTTACTTTTGAATCACTTCCCCGGTAGCACTAGTGGTAAAGAATCTGCCTGTAATGCAGGATGACCCAGGTTCGATCCCTGGGTTGGGAAGATCCCCCCCCGGAGAAGGAAATGGCAGTCCACTCCAGTATTCTGGCCTGGAGAATCCCATGGACAGAGGAGCCTGGTGGGCTGCAGCCCACGGGGTCACAGAGAGTGGACTGAGCGACTGACTCTAACTGTGATGAAAATGCCGCTGTTGGTGATCTCCTGCCTTCCGGGCTGGGGGTCCTAGTCCCGTGGAATACTCACATCTTCTGTATTTGTAACATGCGGCACGGCACGGTTGATCCGAGTGTCCACGGGCACAGAACCCGTGTTTTCATTTACTGGGCCTGCCTTAACAAGTCGCCACTGCTTTGGTGGGTCCGAGCAACCCAAGTGGATGACCTTATGGTTCTGCAGGTCCGATGTCAGAATGGGTCCACGAGGGCTGAAATCAGGGCATTGGCAGAGCCGCGTTCCTTCGTGAACGCTCTCAGGAATGCCTACTTCCTTGCCTCTTCCAGTGGCCAGAGACCAGCTGCATCTCTTGGCTTGGGGCAGCTCTCTGCATCCTCACAGCTGGTCACGTAGCATCCTGAAACCTCTCTCGCTACAGCTCTGACACCAACGCTGCTGCCTCTCTCTTTCCCTTAGAAAGACCTTCAAAATGAGATTGTATTTGACCCACTCACAGAGCCTGGAATAGACTCTCCTTTTGTCATATAAGGTGCCACATCCCCAGGTTCCATTTGGAGACATATCGGAGCTCTGTTGAGCTTCCCAGGAGGCGCTATGTCAAAGAACCCGTCTGCCAATGCAGGAGACGCAGGAGACACGGGTTTGATCCCTGGATCGTGAAGATCCTCGGGAGGAGGAAATGGCAACCCCCTCCAGTATTCTTGCCTGCAAAATTCCATGGGCAGAGGAGCCTGGCAGGCTACACTCCGTAGGGTTGCAAAGAGTAGGACATGACTGAGTGACTAAACATGCAGCATACACGGGCAACATTATCCTGCCTTCCGCCAGTGGTAAAAACTAGAAATGGNGGATCGCAAAGAGTCGGACACGACTGAGCGACTGAACTGAACTTATATATAATATATTAAAAGCTATGTAACTATGTTATAATTATATATATGAATATATTAAATATATAATTCATATATATTATAATTATAAATAACTTTATATACTTTATAATTTATATATAAATTATATATAATTTTATATTTTATCATATATGACTTTGTATATATTATATATAACTATATTATAATTATAGATAACTATTTTTAATTTATATATGAATATATATTAAACATAATGTATATTTTATAATTATAGATAACTTTATATACTTTATAATTTTATATAAATTATATATAATGTTTTATATTATCATTATGACTTTATATATAACTATTATAATTATATATAACTATATATTTTATAATTTATATATATGAATATATATTAAACAGATACTTTATATATAATTACAGATAACTTTATATATTTCCGGTATACAATTATACATTTTAAATATTGCATATTTTATAATCATATGTAACTTAACATATATATTTTTCATCACAACAGGCACAATGTAGGTTTTAGTAATTTTCTTTATTTTTGGCCGTGCTGGGTCTTCTTGGGTACCCGGGCTTTTCTCTAGCTTGGAGACTGCGGGCTGTTTTCTCGTTGCCGCTGAGACTTCATTGCGGTGGCTTCTCCTCTTACGGAGCCCGGGTCCCAGGACACTCGGACGTCAGTCGCTGCAGCTCGTGGCCCAGTCATTCCGGCCCCGCGGGCTTTAAGCACGGGCTCAATACTTGTGGCTCACGGGCTTAGTTGCTCTGAGGCAAGTGGGATCTTCCCCGGCCAGTGACGGAACCCGCGTCTCCTGCTTTGGGAGGCGGGCTCTTTCCCACTCGAGCCCCCGGGGAAGCCGCAGATAACTCGGAGATTCTCGTCCCATCCCTGTCGTCAAAGCACTCGGTTCTCCCAGACTGGCCGCCCCAGGGTGAGTGTTGGAAAGACAGGTCTCCTTGACACGTCTCCTTCTGCGTTCCAGGGGGAAAAGCGAACAACTGGGAAGGAGGCATCCGGGTCCCCGGCATCATGCGGTGGCCGGGCGTGATCCCGGCCGGCCTGGAGATTGACCAGCCCACCAGCAACATGGACATCTTCCCCACGGTGGCCAAACTCGCGGGGTCTCCTCTGCCACAAGACAGGTACTGACTCCCGGCTCCCTGCGCTGCTCTCACTCAGGTTTTGCAGGCTGGGGAGCTCTGCATCACCTGCTCTGTGGCAGGCTGCCTGCGACGGGACCGGTTCTCCATCCATGGCCACTTATGGAAGATAACTGGTGGGTTAAGGGGCTTCCCTGCTGCCTCAGCGGGTAAAGAATCCTCCTGCAATGCGCGAGACCCCGGTTCGATTCCTGGGCTGGGAAGATCCCCTGCAGAAGGGACAGGCTACCCACTCCAGTCTTCTCGAATCCTCCTGCAATGCAAGAGGCCCTGGTTTGATTCCTGGGCTGGGAAGATCCCCTGCAGAAGGGATAGGCTACCCACTCCAGTCTTCTTGGGCTCCCCTTGTGGCTCAGCTGGTAAAGAATCTGCCTGCAATGCAGGAGACCTGGGTTTGATCCCTGGGTCGGGAAGATCCCCTGGAGAAGGGGATAGGCTACCCACTCCAGTCTTCTCGAGTCCGCCTGCAATGCAACAGGCCCTGGTTTGATTCCTGGGCTGGGAAGATCCCCTGCAGAAGGGATAGGCTACCCACTTGAGTCTTCTCGAGTCCGCCTGCAATGCAGGAGGCCCTGGTTTGATTCCTGGGCTGGGAAGATCCCCTGCAGAAGGGCTAGGCTACCCACTCCTGTCTTCTTGGGCTTCCCTGGTGACTGTGGTGGGTCCATCAACTTAAGCATGGCTCTGTCCATCCTGTTATCCCAGGGGAAACACAGTCCGAGGCCCGATGGGGCTGGATGCTCCGCGTCTTTGTTTTGGTTTGCGTTCTTTCATTTAAAACTTAATTCCCCTGCCACGTTGGATCTGCATTTTTTAAATTGGCGAATAATTGCTCTATGACAGTGTGTTGGTTTCTGCTTTCCCACATTTTGAATCGGCTGTAAGGATGCACATATCCCCTCCCTCCTGAGATTCCCTCCCACCTCCCATCCCTCCCCTCCAGGCCATCACAGAGCCCCGAACTGAGCCCCCAGTGCTGTATGCCAGCTTCCCACCAGCCGTCTGTTTTACACGTGGTCGTGCATATATGTCAGTGCTGCCCTCTCAATTCATCCTATCGTCTCCTCCCACTTGTGTGTCCACACGCCAACCCCTCTATGTCTGTGTCTGTATCTCTTCCCTGCAAATGGGTTCCTCTCTACCAGTTTTCTGGGTTCCATATATGCATCCATATCTGGTATTCCTATCAGCTGACTTAATTTCTTCTACTCCCTGGGTCCATCCACGTCTCTAGGAAAGATCCAGTTTTATTTCTTTTTCATGGCTGAGTAATATTCCATCACATGCACGTCCCACTTCTTCTTTACCCATTCACCTGTTGATGGACAGCTGGGTCGCTTCCATGTCCCAGCTGTTGTAGATAATGCTGCAGTGGACATCGGGGCACATGGGTTTTTAACCATTGTGATGGGCTTCCCTGGCGACTCAGCTGGTGAAGAATCCGCCTGCAATGCGGGAGACCTGGGTTCCATCCCTCAGTTAGGAAGATTCCCCTGGAGAAGGGAACGGCTAACCACTCCGGTATTCTGGCCTGGAGAATTCCATAGAGTGTATGGTATATGCCCAGGAATGGAATTGCAGTCTCTAGCTGAGCTTCCCTCTTTTGGCATACGATGGATTTTTTTCTCCCTCTGTCTCTCTCTGTCTCATCGGCTTGCAGCAGGGCAGCTGGACAGAGTAAGCCCCCTCCTGTCATCACACACGCCTCCTCCCAGCCCCACCCAGAGGCTCTTTGCTGCAGGAGAACCAAGAAAGGGATCTGGCTTCTCCATCAGGCCTGTTTCCCAAGCACGTCTTCATCTAGCAGGTTCTGAATGAAACGTCTTTCTCTTCCATTTAAATACAGCTTCCGATGACATCGCCGACGGTTTCTCCTGAAGTGTTATGACCCATCCAAAGAGCTCTGAGTGAGGCTTGCTGATTAATTGTTTTCATTAGTAAGGTGGCAGGTGATGGGGGTGCACAGGCCACAAATCCAGTTTAAATTCAGCTGCCGGGGAAACCCAGCGGAGACTGGGAAAACAGCTCGGCCAGAGCTGAGTCCAGGCGGAGGTTTGCACAGCTCCTTTGTGTACAAGCTTGGTTCACTCTTCCCTTTTTCTTCTTTTTTCCAAATTTCTACATTGGGTATACCTTCTGCCAGAGGTGTGCCCACGCACCACACACACACATACACACACACAAATGAGAAAGGCGAAATTATAGAGTGTAGCCCTTCTTACGTGTTATGACCCATCTGCGGAGTTCCAAGTGAGGCACGCTGATTAACTGTTTTCATGGAGTTCTGGTCTCAAGACCCTCACAAACACTTCACTGATCAAGGAACCCAAAGGTGCTTCTGCCTCTGTGGGTGGTATCCATCTATGTTCGCCATATTAGTACTCAAATCTTCAAACCAGAGTCTTTAAACGCAAGAGCGCCCAAGCAGACATTGAGTCAGCTGGCAGAGTGATGACGGAGCCTCTGGGGAGAGACCCCCGATTAACTCGTGAAAGACCAGTGATGCAAGAGATCAAAGAATGTTTTGAATCGCCATGGAGATCGTTTCAGCTCGTAGACCTCCTGGTAGATCTCTGGGAATGCCCGTGGGTGTCTGGACCACACCTGGAGGCAGCTGATGCTCCAGAGAAGAACAGAGATCCTGGAGCCATGCATGCAAAGCATGCAGGGCTTTGCATCTTGGCTGTTTTAACAGCTTCAAAGCCCCGAACTTCCTGGGCCTTGGTTTCTTCTCCTGCAAATGGGTTCAGCCTTGAATGCTGCCAAATGGGTTGATGTGAAAATGGAAAGTGTCAGAGAGTCAGCAAGTGCAGAGTGGAGAGGCGTGAATACTTGTCCTTTACGCTTCGTCCACCATAGGGAAAAAGAGTTATTGCAGCTTCCACATTTAATCTCCATCGGGGGTTAGACGGTCGTCACTTTGAAGGCTGAAGGGGGGCTTCGAAGATCTTAACCTCCTGTCACATTATTCTGCCTTTTCTCTAATGATGGAAAACTTGGCAGTGGGAACTCATCAAAACTCTCTTTTAAAAAAAAAAAAGATTTTGTTTTATCAATTTCTCCACTCTGTGCGGCATGAGGGATTTTTAGTTCCCCGACCAGGGATGGATCCATGGCCCCCTGCAGTGGAAGCATGGAGTCTTAACCACTGGACCGCCAGGAAAGTCCCAAATGTTTTTTTCTCATAGACAGTCAGAAGTCTCCCCGCTTCTTTTATCTGCTCTTTAGCCCTGGTTCTTTCCCTCTGTATAAATGTTAATAGTATTGGGAACAGTGCACACAGACTATTCAGATTGCTGTCGTTATTCAGCCGCTAAGTCCTGTCTGACTCTTTGCGACCCCACGGACTGCAGCACGCCAGGCCTCCCTGTCCACCACCAACTCCCGGAGCTTGCTCAAACTCATGTCCATCGAGTCGGTGATGCCGTCCAACCGTCTCATCCTCTGTCGTCCCCTTCTCCTCCTGCCTTCAATCTTTCTCAGCATCAGGGTCTTTTCCAGTAAGTCAGCTCTTCCCATCAGGTGGCCAACGGACTGGAGTTTCAGCTTCAGCGTCAGTCCCTCCAATGAGCATTCAGGACTGATGTCCTTTAGGATGGACTGGGTGGATCTCCTTGCAGTCCAAGGGACTCTCGAATCTTCTCAGGCACCACAGTTCAGAAGCATCAATTCTTGGCTCATGATATCCTATCATCCCTGCTCTTTTCTCTCATAGTGTTTTTTTTAGCCTCATCGGGTCGTAGTTGGGGCCCTCAGGATCTCCACTTCGTGTTCTGGGATCTTCCGGTGCAGTGTGCAGACTCTCTAATTGTGACCTGCGGATTCTACTTGTGGCATGTGGGTTAGTTGCTTGAAGGCATATGGGATCTTAGTTTTCCAACCAGGGATCGAACCCGTGTCCCTGGGGTTTGAACCCGTGCCATTGCAAGGTGGATTTTTAATCATTGGGCCACCAGGGACATACCATGGGCTCTCACAGCATCTTTAAATGGTTTTCCATCTCACTGGGAAGAGGCCAGGGAAGGCAGAAGTCCAGAGGCAAAGAGGGAGATTCTTAAAGGGAAATCTCACTGCTGGCACCTCCTCCCCACCCCAACCTGAGAGTAATGGAAGTCATCCTGGCTTCCTCACATGTGCCCGTTGATGGAGGAAGCCAGCCCGCACCCCTGTTAATCAGACCCAAGTCCTTTCTGCGTGAGCCAGTTTTGTCAGTAGATTCCTTTCTGAATATTGAAGGTTCTTCCTATGGCTTTCATCCGCTGATGGTCTTACTCAACCCAAAGATGTTGTGTCTGGGTGGAGGTTCCTCTTAGATGTCACTGTTATTAGGAAAACCTTATTACAACTTTTCAATAATGACAACTGGATAATATTCTTCTATTTATCCATTCTTCTATTTATCCAGTTGTTTCAGTCGTGTCCGACTCTTTGCATGCCTATGGTCTGTAACCTGTCAGGCTCCTTATGTCCATGGGAGTCTCCAGGCAGGAATACTGGAGTGGGTTGCCATTCCCTTCTCCAGGAGATTTTCCCGACCTGGGGACTGAACCCAGGTCTCCTGCAGTGCAGGCAGATTCTTTACAGTCTGGGCCCGCAGGGAAGCCCCCTATTTATCCATCTCCATCTATAAAGCAGACACCGGGCTGTTTCCTCTTTAGAAAACAGCCTGAACTCTTTCCCGCTACTGATGGATGGGAATCAGCATTCGTGAATGCTCACTTGAGAAATGTTACAGGGACGTTTCTTAGGAGAAGAAGCACATTCAGAGGGTTGGACCCAGGCTACGGGACAGTCACTTAGTGAAGCGCCCTAGCATTTTTCCATACGTTTTGTCTCACGAGAGGGTATTTTGTTCACAAGTCCCTCTGCTAGGGCAGGACAGCCTTGTGTTGTGAAGAAGCATCTCGTGTCTGGTAGATACCTCTCCTGATCAACCCTAGTTCGGTGAGAAATGAAAAGCCCTTCCAGGCAGGCTTTCTACT